AGAAATGATAGCACAAAGGAAAACAGTTTTAGGCTTCCAAGGGTGGCAAACTGGAAGGGTAAATATATGGGAAGAAACTTAACAGTAAGGTTTGTTGCCAATTCCGCTTCTCAAAGATTCAGATTTTGGGGTGACATATCCTGGTTTCCTTCATTAGGTTTTATACCTGGCTCTAAGGAATCCCTGATGAACAAAAAACTCAAAGCTATTGGTATTTAAGTATCCTGGTTATAGGTGAAATGAGTGCATGAGATATTTCATTAGAATGTTTTAGGGACGCCTGGGTGGCTCAGTCAGTTAAGCATCAGACTATGGCTCAGGTCAGGATCTCACAATTCATGCATAGGGCTCTGTGCTGATAGCCTGGAGCCTGGATCCTGCTTCGGATTCTGTCTCCCTCGCTCTCTGCCCCTCCCCCACTTGCATGCAAGTGTTCTCTCTCCCTCTCAAAAATAAACAAACATTAAGGAAAAAAAAAGAACTGGGGCACCTGGGTGGCTCAGTCAGTTAAGCATCTTACTGAGGCTCAGGTCATGATCTCGCAGTCCGTCCGCGAGTTTGAGCCCTACGTCAGGCTCTGTGCTGACAGCTCAAGAACCTGGAGGCTGCTTCAGATTCTGTGTCTCCCTCTCTTTTTTAAAAAGAAAGAAAGAAAGAAAAATAATGTTTTAAAGAGATGTATCCTTATACTATTCTTTAAGCAAAAGTTTGTGCAAAAGCCCCATTCTCTAAAGGATTCTACAGAATGCCTGGAGCTCTATAGAGTTGTGTTGTTGTTGTTGTTTTTCCCCCTGAAGAAAGCAATGTTACTCTTTAACAGTCAAAAGCATTATTCCTATTAGGGATAATGTAATACCACCTCATTCTTACTATGTATTACAATCATTTATATGGATATAAATATAAAAATACAGGCACTGCATGGTGACTAATTTTGGAATAAATCCATAGACTAAGTCACAGCATGTATAAATCATTTATATCTTAACTGCTTACTTATACCTGAACAAATTTTCATTAAGCATATTATTAATTTTCTAGTTATATAATCTGGTTGCAGTATTTTATTTTGCTGAAGCACATTTGAAAAAGAAGTCAGCTCCGTCACCTATTTTAATACTAGTATATTCTGGATCTTGTTATGCAGTGCATGTATAGAAAAAAGAGCATGGGGCGCCTGGGTGGCTCAGTCGGTTGAGCGTCTGACTTCGGCTCAGGTCATGATCTCGCGGTCTGTGAGTTCGAGCCCCGCATCGGGCTCTGTGCTGACAGCTCAGAGCCTGGAGCCTGCTTCAGATTCTGTGTCTCCCTCTCTCTCTGCTCCTCCCCTGCTCATGCTTAGTCTCTCTCTGTCTCTCAATAATAAATAAACGTTAAGAAAAAAAAAAAATTTTTTTTAAAAAAAAGAAACTTAAAAGAGCATATATTTCCCACAAGGAGACATTTAGTCTCTATCATTGGTGTGTATTTACCAAACATTTTAACGCTACAAACATTAGCAGTTTCAAGATGGACACCTGAAAAGGTTTCTACTCTGCTACAATGATACAGGTGTAACTTTACACAAGACATCTTAGTAATGTTAAATCAACTGCAGGTAAGACTTGTGAAAACCAATAAAGAAGCTAAGTTAAAATGGAGTCTGGAGGCAATGAAGGGGGAGTTCTCAGGATCACTCCTGGCAACTTAGCATACCTCAGGGAGAAGAAGAATGATTCTCCTTGCCCAGCAACAACCTAGCCAATGAGAAGCCCTCACTCTCCCTCAAATTCTCCCTCTCCTCCAATGAACTCTTGTTCAAAGCAGCCCCTCCCCACTCCCTTCTTTCCTCTATACAAGGAAACTCTTTTTCCTTCCTTCTTGGGACTTGCCTATGGTTTGCCATGATTGCAGTCCTAAATTGCAATTCCTCTGCTATTTCTAAATAAATTCATTTTTGCTAGATAAATAACTGGCTGGTTTTTTTTCTTTAATTTTTTTTAATGGATGTTTTGTTTTTAAGGTTGACAGGGTTTTATCAATGAATTGCTTCATATCCATCATTTCCTGGTGACATGAACTGCGCATCATGCCTTCCTAGGTCTTTAAAGTTACATTGGTTGGATTTACCGATGTTTTTAGCTTTTGACAATAAGAGAACCAACCATTATTAGAAACCAAAGGGTGGTAATCTCCATGGCACTAAGAATAGAAATATCTGTTAGCCTCTGCTAGGACTCCGTGGAATGGAAGCACACAGGGGAAGTGAGTACAGTGATGCCTGCCAGCTTCTGCTGTGTGGTAGAGCAGTATATAAAAGACAAAGCTCTGTCCTGAGAAAATCCTCCCCAAATAACAACATTAAAAGGAATACCTTTCTTCACCTCTGCTCTATCAAGGGCTTTACATTTATGCTATCCAATTCCAGGTTCATCCTGTAAATCTGGTAAGAGCCCAGTAACGTTAAACAAGGCATAGCCATATTCACAATTAATGTGACAGGCATAACTAGCACACGTGGGTAAATATATTTGATACATGAACTTCTGATACCTGCAAAGTCTTCTGCCCACCCATGCTCAGTATCTCCATGGTGAGAAGGGGTGCAGACATCGACGGTACTGCCATGTGAGAAGCAGGAACGAAAGTGGCGCCTGTGAGCTGCATCCCCTCTAGAAGGCACGAGTATCATGGGTCTAGGCCAGTAGTTTTCAATCTTTATCCCATATTAGAATCATCTGGAGAGCTTTAAAAAACAGTCTTGCCTAGGCCAAGAGTTCTTGATTTAATTGGTCTCAATTGTAACTTCAGCACCAGGACTTTTTGCCCCAAGCTCCCCAGATGATTCTAATTCGCAAAGTTGAGAACCACTGGTCTAAAATAATGGTTCTCAAATTTTTGCATGCATCACAGTCAGTTGGAGGGGTTGTTAAAATAAAGAACCTTTTGATTCAATAAATCTGAGATGAGGTTTATAATGTGTTTTTCTAACAAGTCCTAGGTGATGCTGATGCTGATGGTCAAGAGAACACATTTGAGAACCACTAGTCTAGAGCAATGCTATCTAACAAATATAATGTGAGCCACATACGTAATTTAAAATTTTACAGGGAGTCACATTTTTTTAAACTAAAAAGAAACAGGTAAAATATATTTTAAAAATATTTTTTAGGGGCGCCTGGGTGGCGCAGTAGGTTAAGCGTCCGACTTCAGCCGGGTCACGATCTTGTGGTCCGTGAGTTCGAGCCCCGCGTCGGGCTCTGGGCTGATGGCTCGGAGCCTGGAGCCTGTTTCCGATTCTGTGTCTCCCTCTCTCTCTGCCCCTCCCCCGTTCATGCTCTGTCTCTCTCTGTCCCAAAAATAAATAAAACGTTGAAAAAAAATTAAAAAAAATATTTTATTTTACCTATTATATCCAAAATATTATGTCAATATGTTATCAAAATAAAAATTATTAATGAGATGTTTTACTTTCTTTTTTCTTTGTACTAAGTTTTTGAAATCTAGTGTATTTTACACTTATAGCACATCTCAATTTGGACACCAAATTTTTATCAGAAATGCTTGTTCTGTACTTAGATTTTATAAAATTTACAATTGACATAATAGATACATATACCCAAGTTGTTGCAAACATACTTTGAAGATTCCAATAACTAAATTCAGTATATATATTTTACATTTAAATTAACATAAAATAAAATTTATTTTTCCCTATTTGAAAAATGCATTTATTTTTCCCTATTTGAAAAATGCAATTATTTACTGAAGGTCAATCATTATCTACCTGTTTCTACCTGTTTGTACAGTTTCCTTATTATTAATAGATTGTGCTTCCTAAAGCTCATATGCAAGTCAATGATTTAGAAATCAGATTGCATTTCTTCATAGAAATAATACAACAAATGCTTCCAGGGTATCCGATTAAAGCCCACTTAACACATAATGGCTGAAATATACAAAGAATCAAAGAGTACTTCTCTGCAGTTTTTAAAAATAAAATGTTTCTGAATAAAATATCAAATTCCAATTCAGTATTCCATGAGTATATTTCTCTTTCAATAAGTGCCTTTGAAAATGGATGAACAATATAAAGATTTAGTTCCCAACAGATGTGAAGTATGTCACCTGCTTTAGAAGGCAGAATCAATTACAGTCACATTTGGTTTTAAAACAACAACTGTTTGCATTTCACTACATAAAGGACATTCATACAACCTATGCATAAAAAAGAAACCACAGGAATATTTCCAAATGTAAAATATAGGTCTAAACTCAAGTCCTCTGCTCTGAATTCTCCAATTGTATCCCACTCACTCATAGAAACAAGGTTATTAATTAAACCTATAAAACCTATATGATCTCCTCCAGTTTTATCTCTGTGGCTTTGTTACCTTTATCTTTCCCTTAGTCTCTCACTCCATTCCAAAGGACCCTGATCTCCCAAACAGGACAAACACATTCCTGCCTCAGGGCCTTTGCTCTTGCTGTGCCCTCTAACTGAAACACTCTTCACCCAGATCACACAGGGCTTCCTTATTCCCTTCAGGCCTTTTCCTAAATGTTTGGGTCTTCACCAATCATTCCACATAGCAATTACTAACCCTCCCCCCACCTTCCTTCCTCTATATCATTCTTCCTTAACTTTTCTCCATACAACTTTTCACATTTAAATATAATATGCAGTTCACTTATTTGTCATCTCACTGCTACCACCACTAACATGTCAACAACATGACAGTTGTGATTTAATATTTTTTGGTCCTTTCTGTGGAACCTAACACTTTTATGTTCCTGAACTCTACATAAACAACTTTCTAAGTTATTTTATGATCTATTTATTTATACACACATGTCTTTCATATGTACAATTTTTACTTGACTATCTTCCTTTAAGTCTTCTGCATGAAGGGAATAGATCATCTTCCCTTTGGCAAAAGATTTAATTGGAGGTAGAAAATTCATTGTTGTAGTAATTGGTGAAACAGCCTTTCAAATAATTCTTGGTCTTCAAACATTTTGAAAAATTCATGTTTTCAGGGCTAGCTCAGTCAGCGGAGTGTGTGACTCTTGATCTTCAGATTGTGAGTTCAAGCCCCTTGTGGGGTGTAGAGATTCCTTAAATCAATAAAACTTTTTAAAAAATTCATGTTTTCTGGGGTGCCTGGGTGGTTCAGTTGGTTAAGCATTGGCTCAGGTCATGATCTCATAGTTCATGAATTTGAGCCCCACGTTGGGTTCTATGCTCTCAGCGTGGAGCCAGCTTCAGATCCTCTGTTCCCCCCTCTCACTGCCCTTCCCCTGCTCTCTTTCTCTTTCTCAAAAATAAATAACATTAAAAAAATGCATGTTTTCTATATCCCTATAGAATGACAAATTTCATTGAGGCTGTTCTGTAATCAATATTCATTTGGATTGTATAATTGTGTAATGTTCAAGTACCCTGTAGAATTATATCAGCTGTCTAAATAAAGTACCCATTTGTGAATAGCGTGTTCTATATTATTTAAAACCTAGAAGTACAACTTCTATGAAAAAGATCCAGTTCAATGATTTTTGTCATTTGATTTCACTGAATTAAAATTGTACTACTTTCTTAAATCTGTTTTTTAATCATTTAATCTAGATAAAAACCAAACTCCCATCATTGTAATGAATAAATCTATATCATTGCTTCCAATTACTCTTTAGCCTACCAACTCTGCCATTTGTTGGTGTGATTTCTTTTTTTTTTTAATTCAATTTACTTAAACTAAAAAAAGGAAAAACCATTCACCCATTTCTCCTACATACACAGCCCTAACCCCATCTCTGGCAACCACCAATCTATAAGCTTGATGTTTATTTATTTATTTATTTATTTATTTATAGATTCTAGATATAAGAGAGCTCATGCAGTATTTGTCTTTGTCTGACTTATTTCACTTCTCATAATGTCCTCAAGGACCATCCATGTTGTCACAAATGGCAAGATTTCATTCTTTTTTTATGGCAGAATAATATTTGTGTGTATATGCATACATACATACACACACACATACCACATTCGCTTTTTCCATTCATCCATCCATGGACCCAAGTTGTTTGCATATCTTGAGTATTGTAAATAATGCTGAAAGTAACATACAGGTGCACGTATCTTTTTGAGTGTTTCATTTTCTTTACATAAATTCCCAGAAGTGGAATTGCTGGGTCGTGGTAGTTCTATTTTTAATATTTTGAGGAACCTCCATACTGTTTTGCACAGGGGCTGCACAGTCTGCATTCCCACCAATAGTTCCCTTTTCTTCACATGACTTGTAATTTCTAGTCTTTTTGATAATAGCTATTTTAACTGGTATAAGGTGATCTCTCATCATGGTTTTTTTTAAATGCTTATTTATTTATTTTGAGAGAGAGAGAGTGCATCTACAGGGGAGGGGCAGAGAGAGGGAGACAGAGAATTCCAAGCAGGCTCCACACAGCGTGGAGCCCAGTGTGGGGTTTAATCCCGCAATCGCGAGATCTCATCCTGAGCCAATATCAAAAGTCAGTCAGTCAACCAACTGAGCCACCCAGGCACCCCTCTCATTATGGTTTTGATTTTCATTTTCCTAATGATTAATGATATAATGCATCTTTTCACGTACCTGTTGGACATTGGTATTCATGTACCTTTAAACACTGAATTGAGGGTCTCACTTGTGCTGGCCAGATTTCAAGTACTTAATAGCTATTTGTGGCAAGTGGCTATCAAGTTAGAGAGTACAAATCTAATCCAATATATTTGGGTTCTTAAATAAATGCTTTAAGTGATTGAAGAAGGTCAAATATACATATCCCTATTTTTGTGATATTCACATAGGAATTGTTACTTTACTTTCAGAATAACTAGAGCTATACTGCCTTATTAGTCTTCCACTTATATATTTATAAGTGCTGTGCAGAATATTGATTTCCTTTATAACGCACTGATTCTTTTCCTTCTTCTCAGTCAACCTAGTTGGCTCATTCCTCAAACTGTTTTATTAAATGTTCACAAAGTGCCATGGGGCGCCTGGGTGGCTCAGTCGGTTAAGCATCCCACTTCGGCTCAGCTCATGATCTCACGGTTCATGGGTTCAAACCCTGCGTCGGGCTCTGTGCTGACAGCTCAGAGCCTGGAGCCTGCTTTGGATTCTGTGTGTGTGTGTGTGTCTCTCTCTGCCCCCCCCCCACTCTGTCTCTCTCTCAAAAACAAATAAAAACAGGGGTGCCTGGGGGGATCAGTCGGTTAAGCATCCAACTTCAGCTCAGGTCATGATCTCACAGTTCGTGAGTTCAAGCCCCACGTCGGACTCTGTGCTTGACAGTTCAGAGCCTGGAGCCTGCTTCCAATTCTGTCTCTCTCTCTCTCTGCCTCTTCCCTGCTAACGCTCTCTCTCTCAAAAATGAATAAACATTAAAACATTTTTTAATGAATAAAAACATTAAAAAGTTCACAAAGTCCCAATTGGTACCATGATATATAGAATAAAAGTACAAAATACAAAAGATTACATTTAAAACAAATTTCTGAAATTCAGGTGTTCAAGTAGGTGTTGCTCTTCAAAATAGTCACACTGCTTGGGAAGTTTTGTGCATACTCCTAACATTGCTGCCATCAACTGAAATGTTTTATTGCAGTTTCTCTTATGGAATTCTTTCTCATTCATTCTGGGTAAGCGGTACAGTACAGTCTTCTGAGAGTATTAGATTAGTTTGATATCCACAGGTGCCAGGGTTAGGACTTCAACATATCTTTGGGGAGTCACAATTCATAACAAGCATGCATTCTGAAATCAGACTGGGTTTGAGTCTTGTGCTACCACTAATATCATATTATGCAGTACATGTATAGTGCTTAGAAATATGCTTGACACATACTTAGTACTCAACAAATCTTATCCTTTTTCTTCAAGATCCAATTGAAACATCATCTTATGAAGCCATCCCCCACTATCCCCTAATTTATTCAAAACGTTTATTGAACATTTACTCAGGCTATGCACTAATATTCAGAAATAGGCTTATGAGGAGAAACAGCTAATACACAAGTAAATAAGTTGATAATTATATGAAGTGTGAAAGAAATGAGTGTGCACTTCAGCAATCAGTAACATGAAGACTAGTTTTAATTTTTATGATTTTTGCTTCAAGTTTTAAGTTGTAAAGTTTAAATTCTAGTTTGTTAACATACAGTATAGTACTGGTTTCAGGAGTAGATCCCAGTGATTCAACTCTCACATATAACAGCCAGTACTCATCCCAACAAGTACCCTCCTTAATGCCCATCAGCATTTACCCATCCACCACCCACCTCCTTCCATCAACCCTCAGTTTATTCTCTGCAGTTAAGAGTCTCTCTCTTATGGTTTGCCTCCCTCTTTTCGTTTTCTTTCCCCATGTTCATCTGTTTTGTTTCTTAAATTCTACATACGAGTGAAGTCTAGTTTTAATTTTTTTTTAATGTTTATTTATTTTTGAGAGAGACACAGAGACAGAGACAGAGCACAAGCAGGGGATGAGCAGAGAGAGAGGGAGACACAGAATCCAAAGCAGGCTTCAGGCTCGGAGCTGTCAGCACAGAGCCCAATGTGGGGCTGGAACTCACAAACCATGAGATCATGACATGAGCTGAAGTCGGACACTTAACTGACTGAGCCACCCAGGTGCCCCAAGTGATGTCTAGTTTTAAATACTTACAATGTTTTTTAACTGTATTTTTTCACAGTTCTTGGGATGCTTTATATATTAAGTACTTGGAAATATTTCTGAAGTATTTCTTCAGGTGTAACCACAGATAACCTCAATAAGGCTTCAGTTACATGTATATAGCAGATTTGTCCCCGGTGGAGATATTTACAGAAATATTCCATCAAGTATGAAAGGGAAAACACTCAATTATACAAGTAATAGCTAATATACTTGTCAAAGAGGTATTAAAAGTAGTAGTTTGGAATATAGACTCTGGAACCAGACTTCCTTGGCTCCTGTAGCAGCTTTGCCACTTTCTAGCTTGGGTACCCTTGTTGTTTTAATTTTTTTTTAATGTTTTGTTTTATGTTTGAGATAGAGAAAGAGCAGGCAAGTGAGTGAGCAGGGGAGGGGCAGAGAGAGAGGGAGACAGAGAATCTGAAGCAGGCTCCAGCTCTGAGCTGTCAGCACAGAGCCCGATGAGGGGCTCAAACCCACAAACCTATGAGCTGTGAGATCATGACCTGAGCTAAGGTCGGATGCTTAACCGACTGCGTCACCCAGGTGCCCCAGCTTACGTACTCTTGTTAAGTAACTTACCTCCCTTTGTCTCCTCAGATGATTTATCCTCACTAGTAGTAATGCCATATAAATATGTGTCAAATGAAAACGAGATAAATAAATCAGGCACACTATATACTTAGCTTGAACTTTTAAAAAGAAAACACTATCCATCACCATCATTAGAAGAAATTAAGTGTCCTAAGAATATCATTTTTACTTAGAATTTCAGCAAACAGATGTTTTGGCAGAATTGAGTGAGACTTGACAGGTGTTAATATGAATCCTGGAGGACTGTGTATTTTTTATTCTCATGACAAAATAAGTATTATTTGGAATTGCTTGTTTTGTTTAAATTTCATGGTTTTTTTTTTTTTTTAATTTGGAGCTAAAGGTTCCTGAAAATGCAGTTGAGTCCATGGAAGTTTTTTAAATTTGTTTTGCTTTTCCCAGATATCATCACAGTATAGCCACCATAATACATCATCTACATTAACTACCTATGGTATTGCATCTAAAACCCACCACTCTAATTGTCCCTGGTACCCCTACCTGTCCAAACCTCTCCCTTAGACTGAGGAGTGCCAGAGCTATTCAGGTTCTATAAGAAGCAAAGAAATTATGTTACTAAAAAATTGGAAAAGCTTGTAGGGTATTCCAGTAAGGTGTTGGTATGTAACATATTACTCAAAAATTTAGTGGCGTAAAATGATAATAACCATTTTGTTATCTCTCATGGGTTCTGTGTGTTCAGAATGTGAGAAAGGCTTAGCTGGT